GCATTAGGGCCGCTTCCCGCATTTTAAAACATTGTTTGTGGATAGTGGATTTGTAGTTGCACTGGTTTGGTACTATTTGGTAACTTTGGTTTGGTAATTTGGTTGGTTGGTAAATTTTAAGTTTTAATTGGATATGGATTATGGACCGACTTATGGTTATGGAGTGTGTGTTAATGTGTAGTATGCTTTGAATTCTGATGTGCCCTAAATACCTAATTCTTATATTCTATACAATAGATAATTGTAGAATCCTTTTTGGATTCAACTGGGTCCGCCTAGGTTCTGGGCGTCCGCCTAGGCGTTGGACGGCCTGGACCCCCCAGACCGCCTAGGACCCGCCTAATCCTTTTTGAAACACTGATTGCATTCATGAACTCAATCGTGTTGTCTCTGCATGGTTAAGGTAGAAACTACTAAGTGTAGGAGCCTCTCAATCTGTGAGTTCCATTTCTCTCCTATAATTTTCAAAAAGGGCTCATATTTGGCTTTGTCATTGCCAAATTTTTTTATTACTCTTATCCTTGGTAATCTCCGTTGTTTTATAAAAGTGAACCATTGTGGATTCCTTCTCACTATCAACCAATAGCAGTCCCTTCACAAATAGGCAAAAAATACCCAAGGCATACTGAATCCTACTCTAAAATCGTGAGTCCAAAACACTGCTAACCTTGCTTTCCTATCTTTTCTTTGGTCCACTTGTTTTTGGTCCAATCGTCAAAGACAAACATCGACCTAAATTTTTCTTTATGATCCAATAGGATTGTAAAGACAAAAAGCAAGTGGCAATTGTAATCACTCCAGATCTCACCAAGTTTCTATTATCTGTGAACTTCCTCATCAAGGCTAAGACCTGACCAACATAAGCTAAGTTACAAATTCACAAAGTTACAATGACATCACATAACATCTATGTATTCAAAAGAATAAAAAAAATAACAATGACATCCAATAACATCTATGTATTCAAAAGAATAAAAAAAAAGTCACAACAATGCATAATAGAAAACTTCTAAACTTACCCACGTGGGGCTATATGTGATGGGATTTGTTTTCTTCAAGGTTTTTGCTACCACCTTCATCTTAGCGATTACCTCAAGCATGAGGTCTATGCTATGCTCTGCGCAAGGTGGCTAGAAAATATGTGTCCGCGTTGCCGTCAATAAGTGAGCAGCTGTCATATTTTCTACAGCCGTTTCGCTCATTACTTGGACCATGTGATCGCCCCCCCCCCCTCCTCCTCCTCCTTTATACACTGGTCCACCAAATCACAAATGAGTCTTGCATCATGGTTCGTGTTGGAAACATCAGTGGACCTCAAGAACATTGTCCCTAATAGACAATTCACCATCAAGTTAATGATACTTCTATTTCTTTTATCAGTCCATGCATTAGTCATAATAATGCGACCATATATCACCCATGTCTTCTTGTGGGTATTTAAAAAATTATTAGTAAGCTCCTCCTCCTTTGTAAGCAATGGTTCCTTAAGTTCATAAGCTGTTGGGGCCTTATACTCTGGCCTAAGTTGACCAACTGCTTCCAACTTAGTCTGGAAGCTTTTCAAGTTAGCAGTATTTAATGAAATTCCCGCTTGATAGAACCATCTAGTGGTTCTATAAAGTTGTTTGCCCCCTTTCATGCATTGCAATTTGAGGATCAAAGCCCAACCTTGGCATTTATATCCTCTTCTTCATCTTGAATTCCAAAAAATATATATTCACTCTTCACAATTTCTTCATATCTTTTCCTGGCCTCCTTGTTTTTGTTGTCGAGCCCCTGCAAGTGCTCTAGCATCTCGCTCCTAACCTCTTGTGGCACTTGAGTAGATGGAGCAATGTCCTCTCTAATGCCAGCCAATTGTTTCTTTAGTCTATTTATACTAGCATTATAACATTTTTTGCAAAATCTGCACTCTCTATTCTACTCATTTGGATTTGGACAAGGCCTGTATTTCCAACCTGGATCAGTTTGATTGCTTGAATCAGTCGAAGACATTATCAAATGGTGACGAGTCACAAGTCACAACCCACAGCTCACAGTATGATCTAATCAATAAACCTGAAAAATACTCAAGATCCAAGTATTAAATGAAGTAAGCCAACTTATGTCTAAGTCTATAAAATACAAGAAAATAAATTTTAAGTATTAAATGAAATAAAGAAACTAGAAAGCGCCACTAAAAAAATATGGAAACCTAGCAAAAGTATGCAAGATTAAAGAATTAATGAAGCAACCCTCACTTATGTGTAGAATATTAAATGAAGTAAAGCAACTAGAAAAGTTCATAAAAAAAAATGGAAACCAATAATAAAATGGAAAATAATTATTAATTTGCAAAGCAATATTCTAAAGTATTCATGGATCATCCAAGTAAACTAACTCAAGCACAAGTAATATTCATTTGGTCTGGGAGCGTTGGATGTTGTCCTAAGATTTGGTTTCCCAATCTAAAAATTACAAATAGTATCAATTTTGCTTGAGATTATTGTCTTTTTCCTATGATTGGATTTCCCAATCTAAAGCAAATTTCCAAAGAACCCAAACCAAAACCCACTAGTGAATGTTAGAGAATAATCTAATACAAGCTTTAAAAAATATCACAAAACAAAATCCAAAAAGGAAAGAATAACAGATCATAATACATTTTACACAAATAATACCAAACATTGTAATACATTGACCTTTTTAAAATCAAATTGATATAGGCCCAAATCAGTGATATTTGGTTACCAAAATTCTTTATTTGTAACTACTCCAAGCTCCAAAGAGAATTAGGAAGTATATTTTTCGATTTTGCAAGAAATAAAAACGTTATTATTATTATTTTTTTAAATCTTGAGAACGATCTCAAAATCTAAGATTTTGGAGAGTTTTTCTTTCTCAAGCTTACGAAAAGGGTTTTGGGGGGCTAGAATACTCACCAAAACCCTTTTCTCCCCTTTTCAGGGGAGAAGTATGAAAATTCCCTTGACCGAGGGCCATTCTTGGCTAAGATGTATCGAGGCGTAGCCTAGGTGCCTGCATTGAAGCCAGCGCCTGGTTACGCCTCGGCAGGAACTTAGGAGCACTTCCCCTTGGGGCTCGTGCCTAGTGCATATCTTGGCATTTTTAGAGCTTGGATGCCTAGGCGGCCAACTTTTTGCAACTTGGATGCACATATGTGAAGGATTGAGAACATATCATTTCTTCTACAACACAATGACATTCCTTAGACTTTCTATGTATGAAATCCACTCATTTACCTCTCATAGGCATTTGTGGTATTCCTTCTTACATTTGAATAGTGTGATTATTTTGGCAACAGTGATATGTGGGTGAGTGGTGGGATATATTTGTCATTTTTGAAATGGGTAATGAGTTTGGGTATCAGCCAATGGCTTTGACCATGAGATATTCATTTATTCATAGTGCTGTATATGGATATTTTGTTGGTTCATTGGTGAATTCTTGTATTACTGATAGGAGTCTGAAGTTAAATAGTTTTAGTGAGAAGCTGGTAATGCATAGACAGTTTCCGTAATATCTCCTTTGCTTAAACAAATAAACAGTTAGTTATTATTTCATATCCTATTGCTTCAAGGCACAGAATCATGTTGAGATCTGTATTATCAAAATTTTGTTTTGAAACCTTTTATATAACAGGCAGTACATAATCTTCGTCTACAGACCTGTCTGTTTTAAGATATTTTCTGAGGCCACACACTTTGAGAAGTCAACAGAAAATGATGCATCCAAAATCTATGATGTTTGTCTTGCTGAAATCTAGAAATGTTACATATTCAGGTTTCTCATGGGATTATGCCCATACTTTGAGAATTAGAGATCTGCCATATTTAGTAGTGTATTGGCACTTGTTGTTACTAGAGTGGTATCTGATGTTACGCGTGAGTCCAAATTTGTTACTTTCAGTCATCTCATCATGTTATTCTGCTGCCTGTTCTTGCCAAATCAGAATTCTATGCTTAGGAAATAATATCATTCTGAAAGAAATAAAGAGAGCTTCTACACTAAGACTGGTTTCCAGTATTTTAATAAAACCCATGATTACACAGTGCCACTTTCGACACCATCTCATTGGAAATAGATGTTAAATTCCAACCTTCATGATGATGTCATTCTAGATTTGATTTCAAGAGCTTTATGATCTCTTTAAGCCTTTCTTGGCGTGAATTGAGTTTCTGGTATTCCTTGGTTGTTGGATTTTTTGTTCACGAGGTAGGGCATATTTCACGAATGCACTTGGCACATTGACGATCATTGCATTATATTTGGGGGTTTACAAGAAACATCTTTCAACTCCCCATCTTCCCCATGGAAGTCAGTTTTGGAGCATCTTAGCCAGTGGTGCTGGAAAATATTTTTACTGATTTGATGCAAACTTGCTTGTGTTAACCACTCTCCGTCGTAGGTACTGGAGTAGAGTTACCGTGTTTATATATTTGCTGTTTTTATATTTTGCATTAGTCGCCCCCAGACTTGGTGATTGTATCTACCATGAAGGGAAAGGAAATAGAGGTCTTACCTAAAGTCCATGACATTTGTCTCCTTGGTTGTTGTTTCTTTGATTAACTCATAGCATGGAGTCTATGCCGCCTTTATTATTATTATTATTATTTTGTATTATTCTTGTTTCTTTCTCATGGATGTTCCTTTTCTCTCTGAGTGATATACTGTCTTCCTTTTGGTAATGGGCCCAAGTCATGAGGTGGCAGGTGCCATAATGTGATGTATTGGGTTCCATTCCTACCAGTTCCCAAGTTAACATTCAGAAACAAGGAAGAAAATATGCTGATTTCTTTTTCCGCTATTGCAATTATTTTTTATTAATTTATGGTGCAATGGTGCGCTTTATGGTGCAATGATTTTCACCATACGAAGTGCCTACATCATGCTATATTTCTTTTCAATATCTTTTTTCTTTTTTGGGAGAAGGTGTTCTCTTGTTGATTATTAGTATTTATCCTCACATTTGATTGTGCGTTGCTACTTCAATTTACCAGCATTGCATGCATGGCACTTGAAGAATATGAGACTGCAAAGGCATCTTTAACAACTGGGTTTTCCTTGGATTCGGACAATTTAAGATTCAAGGAGATGATTAAGGAATGTAACAAGCAGATTACAGGTATCTTTATGTTGTTATTTCATCATTTGAGAATTTCTATGCATTGCTGTTATTTATCAGTGAGAGTTCAATGAGTAGTTTGCTCTCTTGCTGTAGAAGCTATGGGGAGTATAACTTAGGAGTACTTATCCTATGCACCATCTATCTTGCACAGTACTCATCATAAATGGAGAAATAAAAACATTCATCTTGGTCACTTCCTATCTGGGAATAGGTCTTTGTAAAAATGAATCGTTATTTGGAAAAAAAAAGTAAGCAAGGACAAGTGGAAAAGAAATAGATGAATCATAAAGGGAAATATTTATCTTGACTTAATGGATATCCTGGCATGTTGAGCAATGGGTTGGTTTAGTTTTCTATTGTAATTTTTGTAAAAATAAAGCGTACAGCTCAAAATTGTGATGACTTGGGGGCTGGTTCGATGTCCTTTACAAGAATTGTCTGTCTCTGAAATATAATGACGTAACTTAATGTCTTTAAGTTGAAAATATCTTGAAAAGGAAGTTTTAAAACCTTTAGCTATGTCTTTGGGAATATAATATATTTGGGGAATTTTTCAGTGGGGTCTTCTATTCTTTATACAGAAAAGATCAAATTATATTATCTTTTGGCATTTTTTATTTTCCTTTTGCAACTCCTGAATTCTGAAATGGTCTCTTATTCTATTCCTTAAAACAGAATCGCCAATTCTGTCTTATTGGATATATCTGAAGACACTTACTACTTTTGCCTTCATGCATGCCTTATCTCATCATTGTGTGAATTCTGAGTTTAGTATTATGATCTCTTGCACTCAAGTAGGGGAATAATGTATTTCCAGGTGGTGCCCTTGAGCGTGTCCTTTCCATGTTGGTTTTATATCCTGCGGGTTTCTTGCATTGGGATCTTACCTTGGGGTGTAATATTTTTGCATCTGGTGTTCCTGATCAGTTCTTTTTATTCCATCTAGTTGTATATGGTGATAGCTTCTAGTTACATCTGGTTTTATCTAGTGTTATTCAAACTCTTATCTCACTCTTTACTTTAGCTCCCTTCCTTCCTTTGGTATGTAGTGCATGTTGAGTTGGTTTCTGAGATGATGGCAAGGTTTTGAACTGCAATCAATGTGGTTTCAACTAGATAGGGTCTGAACAGAGCGGTTGCAGTCTTTTTGGGGTTGGACAAAGCATTATACTTTAAGTTGTGTAGGGATAGGCTGATGTTTATCAAGAAACCTGGACTGTAAAGCAATTATGGGAACTCTAAAAGGGAATGGTAAAGCTGCAAAAGTCTTGGATTGTGGGGTCCTTGATGTAACAAGGGATGGGTAATCTTGTGATTGGAAAATGAGTCTTCTATAACTTTGAGTGAGAAGTTTGTTGCTGATGTTGCTTCAATTTTTTGATGTTAATATCAAGAAGTCATTTCTGTAATGCATTGCTGTGACAGGTGCTAAAGGTTAGCGTCATTTGATGGGTGGAGGAGTTGATGTTTGAGAAAGTGGTTCCAGTAGATGAGAGGTGGCATGGACTTAGTGAGTTGATGCTAGAATGACGACAGAATAAGGATGTAAGTCCAGCTATAGGGATTCGGTTTGAGTGTTATTGGTTAGGTGAATTCAAGACAACAATGGGGATTATTAGAAATGTAGCAAGCCAAATGGTTATCAAATATACTTGTTATTTGCAGACGGCAAAGTATACAATTTTTGGTGGCAGTTTGAGCATGATCAAGAGGAGCGCTAATGGGGAGCCTGGGAGACTAGTAGAGCTAGTAAACTAGAAGTCCTTGGGTTAGATGAGGCATGACAAAGAAATCATATTCTTTTTTTTTTTTCACTTTTGAAAACCAGCCAAAAAGGAGGTGGGAGACCTGTTAATGGATCTAGGGCAAAGACTGTGGAAGATGGTTTCCTTTGGTAGAAAGGGTGAAAACAAGCAAAGAAAGAATGCAGGTGATGGAAAACTCCCAGAGGGATGCGAAGGAGGGAACATGTGAGAAGCACTCCAAATATTATGTTCTCCAACTTGTCAATTTCACACCCACCTTGAAGTAATGGAGTCTGTTCCATGTGTGGACTACAATTGTTAAATGCTAGCAGTAGAGCTTATCTCAAATTTGTTCCAGCTTGGCCCGTGCCTCTTCGGCTCATAATAAGCACCACATTACGTTTAAGGGGAGTCATTGGAAACTGACAGTCATGTTGCTGTTAACCCAAGTTTATGTAATAATTCTTCTTATATACACTGGTATTCAGTCTAGTACGGATCATTGTTGCAGGAATCACCCAACGTCAGTGACATTTTGCTCCCAGAATCTCGCTCCGGCACTTTGGGAAATGGATCTTCAAGGGATCTCGATTTTTAAAGTTTGGGATCTCGATCCCCACTATTAGGGATCCAAATCCTACTGTTAGGGATCTCTATCCCAAACTCGGGGACCAAGATAATGATTTTCTTAATCTGTAGTTAGCTAGGAGCACAACTATAGTTTTAATTATAGCTGCATTGCTTGCTTGCTATAAATAAAGAGATCCCTACTTAAATAGCATATGTGGTGTAGTCTTAGACTATATATTCTCTCTAAGGTTGTGAACAAGTACCCCAAAAGGTTGGATTAAGGTCCCAAAAGGTCAGGATCAATATCCCCAAAAGGTTGGGATCTCGACTTGTACCTAACAAATGGGGATCCCTAAACATATGCATCGTACGGATGACGCTTTCAACCATGTTACAAGCTAGCAATAGATTTCATCCCGAACTCGTGCTAGCTTGGCCTGTGCCTCTACGGCTCATAATAAGCACCACATTACGTGCAAGGTGAGTCATTGGATGCTGCTGTTAGCAACTCAAGTTTGTGTAGTAATTTTCTTATATACATTGGTCGTCAGTCTAATACTGACCATGGATGCTGGAACCCCCAACATAGGTGGCGATTAAGTTCCGGAATCTCTCTCCGGCACTCCTAGAAATGGATCTCCTAAGGATCTCGATTTTAAAATTTTGGATCTTATAGACATTGGTCATCAGTCTAATACGGACCATGGATGCTGGAACCCCCAACATAGGTGGCGATTAAGTTCCGTAATCTCGTTCCGGCACAACTAGAAATGGATCTTCAAAGGATCTCGATTTTAAAATTTTGGATCTTGCTCCACACTGTTAGGGATCCCGATTCTTGCTGTTAGGGACTTTGATCCCAACTTAAGGACCAATATAATAACCAAACTGGTGATTTTCTTATTTGTGGTTAGCTAGCAACATAACTATACTTTTAATTATAGTTGCATTGTTTTCTAGCTGTAGATAAAGAGATCCCTACCTTAAAGAGTATGTGTACGACTACACATATCCCTACCTTAAAGAGTATGTGTAGGACTGTACATACTCTTTAAGGTTGTGAGCAAGAACCCCAAAAGGTTGCATCAAGACCCCGAAAGGTTGGGATCTCGTACCTGCCCAACATTTGGGGATCTAGATCCCTGAACATATGCATCGTATGGATAATACGTCCAACTATAGGGATCTTCTACTATTTCATGATCCATCTCTCCCGATCCTATTCTCGCTCTTGATCCCAGCAACTATAGTACGGACTTTTGACTGCAGGATTTTGAACATGCATTTACCATGGTATTAAATGGATGTCTAAATTCTTTTGAAATAGAATTGGAGGTATCCATTGGAGAAAGAACCAACTTTCTGATCGTGGTGTCAGATAGATGTACAAGCCTCCTGAAGTGAACTAGAAATGCTGACAGCAATGAGAGAAATCGATGGTTCTGGAAAGACAAAAGCAAGCACATGGCTTCATGTGTTGGATGTCTTCAACACGCTCCTGTGTTCTGGATGAAGCAGAATGAAGCACTATTGTGGTTTGTTTCCTCGTTCAGGAGAACTTCCTTTTCCCCAATTCTCAGCAGTAGCAGCATTAAATTGTAGTCATCCAGATCTAGAAATCAGTTCAGAATTCAATTCCTGATTGGCAGGGCTCTTGCACTTATCTGAAATGCGAGATAAGTTTGCTGCCTCACGTCCAGCGAAAAAAGGATGCGAAACCTTGAAAATTATGAAAAAGGGCTTTTTTTATCTTTTCAGATGACTACAATGATGCATCTAAATGTTCCTGTTTCTCTTGAAATTCTAGACTGGTTCATATATAAAATTACTGATGCCTTTGTACTCCAAAAGAGCTGAATATTGACAAAGTTACTTCTTCAGAGGATATAAAACTGTACAACGGTGTGAGGATCATGAAAGAAGTAACTTCTATGGAGCAAAACTTGAAGTTTTAACCTTCTAACAAAAATATTTATGTGCTATAAACTATGATAGGATTCTGAACTAGGTCAAGGCAGTTCTAGCAAGACTAAAATATTTCAGTGTGGAAACACACACATTGAGAAAGTTACACATACACACACACAAAAAATAAATAAAGGATTAAAGCAGTATCTTATCTACCGAATAAACTATGAACTTCAATTAGTGCCATTAAGAATTAAACATTTTTGGTCTAAGCTAAGATACTCCTGATCCACTTGTTTAAAATCTCTTTTGAGGTGTCGCACTTAAATCAAATATTTCGAGTATCTTCGCAAGCACTGCCCATATTTGAACAAGATTTCCAATGATTGACTTGTTATTATGTATGTGGCAAATAATGTGACTGCCATGTCTTACTTACCTAACCAAACTGAAATGCTTATTTTTCAACTAATATATATTCACCCCAGTTATTGCATTTAAGTTTTCATATGAATACAACTTTTAATCATACACATCTGGTAAATGTCATTGAAGTCTATACGTATGCTGTTATTGTTGCTCATACTCGCAGGTCTTTTAGTTTATGCTTGCAATTTTTCTTGTAGCATAAATTCTGGACTATCGACTGCCATTGTAGAGGCTTTATATTTCGAAATTTTCAGTACACTAGATATTATTGTGGCTGTTATTTGCTTATGCAGTGGAATTGAATGGTCTTGGACAAAAATCTGTGCCTAATGGTACATCGGGCAGCTTGTCTTCATCAACTGGATCTGCTACAATCGTTTCTGATGCTGGAATTGTCCAAACCCGTGACCAACAACCTACACCTGTGGTGGCTGCAAAACCCAAGTACAGGTATCTACGTTGCTCTAAGTGCTTCCTTACTGAATTTATGTGCTGCTCCTTTTTGGCAAGTCCTCTTCTTTGGATAAATGCATGTTGCATGTGAATTCAAATGTCCTAGATTTACTTGAATTCTGTAGCAAGTCTTACTCTTCCCTTCATGTGGGAAAGTCATGCTAAGAGAAATTGGATCATACTGTCCTATCAAATTGGATCATACTGTCTTATCAAATGGAAACAGCCATGAAACTATCACAGTACAGGATCTGTCTCAGTTTCTATCAGGATTCATAGAAAAGCTGCTTACCATGACCATTACTAACAGATGCCTGATATACCTGACATATAGGGGCAAGCTTTCCCATGATTGGTTCTTTTTTCGTGAACGTATTTCCACCTACTCTTAGCAATATTTCCTTAGTAATATTCCCTTTATCGGTTGAGTCCATTGTTCAAAATACGGAGGCAGGCACCTTGACGGCTAGGGGTCTTGGCCACCTAGGCGGTTGCCCAGATACATGGGCAGCCTAAGGTTTTTTTTTTTTTTTGGAGGTGGGGTTGGGGGAGGAGCATTTGTTTATATGTGTGTGTGTGTGTGTGAGAGAGAGAGAGAGAGAGACGTCTCGCATTGAACGCTTGGATGACATGCTCTTCTTTCTCTTCATTAGGGGGGGCCTCACATTGAATACTTGAAGGTTATCTTCTTCTTTTTCTTTTTCTTATATGTAGAGCAAGAGCATATAGGTCTATGTGTGTGTTTGTGTATGTGCGACTGTATGGTAGTGAGAGGCCTCATATCAAATCCTTGGAGGCCACCTTCCTTTTCTTTTTCTTCTTCTCATGCTTAGAAAGAGAGCACATTGGCCTGGGAGTGAGAAAGAAGGGCCTTAAGGCTTTAACCATTTTTATAGGCATTAACTATTTTTATATTTTAAAGGGAGCTTACACTTTTTTTTCCCCTTCTTTTGGATGGTAATAGGTGCATTGGGGTTTGGGGGGCTAGAATGCCCCCTAGAATCCTATTCCCCCCTTTTTAGGGGGGAAAGTACTTTTTTGGCCTTGGCTACCTTTGTTAGCCCTCAGCCAAGTTGCATTAAGGCGCTGCCTAGGCGGTGACCTTGAGGTTGATCGCCTAGGCGGCACCTTGGGCAACTAGGGCACCTAGGCGTTTTGAGAGGCGGCCAGGCAGTCGATATTTTGGACAATCGTGAGTCATATGCTTTGTGGTTTGGGTTGGTAATCGGATATGTCATTAGAAAGGATGTGTTAATTGCTACCTCAAAAAAAAAAGAGTTAATTGCTACCAAACCCACCATAATTTTTGAAATTCTAATCCTGATTTCCATAAATCATAACTACTGAACCCTAGCTCTAATTGTGAGGATAATAATTCATAAATTGCAAGTCCTTTGCAATTCTTTGTCTCTGGTAAAGAAGATTAACCAATGAAAAACATATCCAATCATGTTGGGCGTGATTTTGTGGTTAGCGGATATTGTAGTGAGATTTGGGTTGATTACACTACGGAAGACGATATATGATCCATAGTCTGATATACTTGCGCTGTTGTTACATACTCTTCCACCCACTATTGTTGAGGTGGTTTAGTGTTAAACATCAATGTCAAGCCTGCCTCAGTAACATGCCTGTGCTAGTTTTCGAGATTAATCTCTGGCCGGATGAGAGAAAGAGGAGTTACGGATAGGATGGAGAGAAGAGACTGGACTACTGGAGTATGGATATAATGATCCGTTACAATGTTTGAGAGAATTCAAGGTGGTGTTACTGTAGGCTAGTCTATGAGAACACCACAGATTGGAATGCCGATGAGACACTGAATATTATTATGCTGAAGAAAGTGAATTATGCTGAAGGATAATAAGACATTCAGTTGGAACACAAGCAAGATAATTGTGAACATTGGGATCAACTTCATGTAGGATGGGCAAGATTATTATAGATCAAATTCATGAGGTATCACAAGCAAGACGAACATATCATGGATTGGATTATAAGGTATAATGTTTTTGGTTGAATCACAAGGTAGCACAAGCGTGATAATTTTCCATTTATATCCATTCCATCCTTTCCCCATCCATTTTCCCTTTTATCCTTACACTTTTTCTCCTTTTCTTCATCTGAGATCCTATTTCTGTGTCCAGTCTTCACTCATAATTACTCATGTTGCAATTCTGAGATGTATTTTCGTCTTTACGTTGTATTATGTTATTGTTTTATGATATCATCTTGCATTTCTTTTTCTTAATAATTTCAGCATTCTTTTGTTGCTTTCTCGAGCAATGCATATGCTGGAAAGCCACGTGTATTTAGGTACATTCACATTACATGCATTTAATTTCTTTCATTTTGTGTATATGTGCTGTGTAGATATCAAATAAGCTCTCTCTAAGGTCGGTTCTATTTTATTTTGTTTTGTTTTTTAAACTGTTTTCTGAGGTTTAGTTATGTGACGCATTAGTATCCAATTTCATACTGAAGTCAACGCTATTCTCTAAATGAACTACAATATTAAGAAATTATTGGGATAATTCCCATATTTATATCATAGTATGCAGAATATATTCAAATCATTTTTTGACTGTTTGATATGGAATATGATGATATGCTTCCAAGTGTATGTTTCTTTTTTTCCTTTTATATTATTATTTGCTGAAGTATTTGTTTTGCAGATGTGATTATTACCAGAATGCCAATGAAGTAGTTGTGTCAATATATGCAAAGGGCATACCATCTAATTGTGTGATTGTTGATTTTGGAGAACAAATAGTATGTTTTCCCCAGAGTATATTTGCATCATTTCATTTTTTTTCTCTGTTGTTCCTTTGTTGTTTCACATGAATTGAAAAATGAAACATCTGAATTCATGAGGGTGTTTCTTTGCTTTCAGCTCAGTGTTTCCATTGAGCTTCCTGGACAAGAGCCATATCATTTCCAACATCGTTTATTTGCAAAGGTGTGTCCTCCTTCTTTGAAATTCACATGCAAATATCTATTTATGCATGAATAGTTGTGTTCATGCATAGATAAGTACATGCATGCATACTCATGGGGGTAATACTAAATGCTAATATCTCGCATTTGACATGTTTGTTGCTATTACTATGAGTTTTTTTTTTGACGTAAATTGTTTTAGGGATATTTTAAAACCTGTCCTCTGAAATTTTCTTATTTTTCAGGCATGACCCCTTTTTTTCCATCTTTTTCATGTTTTCCCAAAATGCCCCCTTTTCAGCACTCTTAAGTGTCGAACTTCATTTTAAACAATGCCAATTATGTTCCAGCACTTAAGAGTGTCAAACTTTGTTGTGCGTGTGTTCAAAACAAAGTTTGGCACTTTAACAAAGTTTGGGAGTAAGTGCCAAGCTTTGTTTTGCTCATGTTTTAAGCTAAACTCTTAATGCCAAACTTTGTTTTTGGTCACCTTGCAAAGGCATGTTATCAACAAAGTTTCCATGTAAACAAATTTCAACACACTTAAGTGCTGAACTTTGTTTTCAACATGCCCAAAACAAACTTCAGCTCTTGGAGTGCTGAACAAATGGGTATTTCGGAGAAAAGTAAAAAAGGGACATCCCTGCAAAATAGAAATTTCCGGTACATTTTTTAATATCATTAAAAAAAAAACAGATATTTGCGGTAATTTCCCTTTTTTTAAAAATATTTTCGTAAGATTTAGTGCTACCTTCTGCTGAAGTAGCATGAATGACAGTTGGACACAAAAACTCGATGTCCTCTATGAATTGCAATGGGAACCTCTTTATAGGAATGCATGAGCCACTTTCATATAAAAAGGAAGAGTCATTCAATTGTTTCCTTTGGCATTGGAGGTGGTGTGGGTGGGGCTAGATCTAAGTTCCCAACATTTGAGTACTAGTGTAGTACTCTAACTGCAGTTACCTCGTCTGGATATGGTTCTTGTTATTCCAGATTTAGTTGCAATATTTTCCGTCTTTGTTTAACATCCTAAGCCATTTATGTTGCATGATATAGATAGAAAGAGAATAGGTAGAGAGAGAAGTGCGTGAATACCTAGGGGTGTGTGCCTGTCATTGAATATGTATTTTATTCTGCAATTTATTCCCTTGACTAATAATTATGAAATCATGATTCAGAAAAAATATAAAATGACTTACAACATGCATTTTGTGCATATTCTTAACACCCCCTCAAAAATCGAAAATTATGTTTGAACGTGTACAATTTCTCTTTTAGAAAAAAATGCCTTCCACTTGCAAGTCATTTGGTGAAGATATTAATAATTAGATTCTCGGTCCCAATGTGTTCTATATGAATTACCTCTTTGTTTATCTTCTTGTGCACAAAATGATAATTGATGTTGATGTGTTTGGTGCAATCATGAAAGATAGGATTAGTCGTGATAGTGCATTCCTATAAATTGTTGACTGTTGTACCTCATATCCAAGCGATGTATCAGGTTGTAAATACAAGCCATCTTTGTTACAATACTAGCCAATGCTCTGTATTCAGCTTATGTGCTTGATCTTGCCACAGATTTTACTTCTTGCTGCTTCAAGCTATCAAATTTGTTTCTTAATAAACATAATATCCTGAAACTAACTTGTATGAGTCAGGATCTCCTGCCCCATTGGTTTCTGGGTACCCAGTAATGCAAGCAAGACGGACATCTTCTACATGAGTTATATGATATGTAATGCCTTGATTAATGGTACCTTTGATATATCAGATTATTCGTTTTAAGGCTTCCAAGTGAACAAAGGTAGGAGCACGCATAAATTGACTTACCTGATTTACTATAAAAGGAATTTTAAAACAAGTGAGGGTAAGATGCTGGAGCAAATCTTCCATGCTTCGGTAGTTTTTCTGGATCATCAATTATTTTTCCTTCCCTAGTCCGATCCACTTCTATTCCCAACAAATATCTCAACTCTCCCAAATCTTTCATTTTAGACTTGTTATGGGAAGATCCTTTTGATGTTTGAAATAAGGTCTTAGAATTTCCTATAATTATAATATCATTGATATATAAGAGAATAATCACAATACCTTTAGTACTCTTGCAAATGGATAGGGAGTGATCCACTGCTGCCTCATAATACATACGTCTTTATCATATACAAACTTTGAAACTAGGTACAAGAGTGTTGCTTTAGATTTTAGACTATAAATAGATCGCTTCAGCTTGCATGCATATTTTGTGGGATCCTTTTCACTAAAACCAAGGGGCTGCTCCGTATACACTTCTTCCTTTAACTCCATGAAGAAATGCATTCTGTACAACAAGCTGGAAGAGAGGCCAATCATATGTCAAGACTAAGGATAAGACTAGCTGAGCTGTGACAATTTTAACAACTGGGCCAAAAGTTTCTTTGTAGCCCAATCTATGCCATTGATTGAATCCTTTTGCTACTACGAGCATTAAATCGCTCGATTCCATCTGACTTGTATTTTTTTATTCTTTTTGGCACACCCATTTGATGCCCACAACATTCTTCTCCACTAGACTCTTCACAATTTTCTATGTGTTATTCAGAAACATTGCCCTCGTTTCTTTTGCTATTGCTTGAACTCATTACGGATCCCTTTTACGATATAGTAGTTGGTAGGTTCCTTTTATTTAAGGGCTTCACAGATAAGAATTTGATAGTGATTTGTAAAGCCTCCATGGCTATCCATCGGTCTTTAGGGTACACGGGTAGACCTTCCAACATTTTAACTTGCTGCAGTATCCCCGGTATTATCTTCTGATCTCTCCAATTTGTCATGCCCACTACAATGATGCCCTTCTTGTATATGTGTGGAATCAAGCTGCCTCCGTTTGCTTAGTCTTCGATAAACAATTAGCTCAACATCAGGCTGTTGCTTCTATGGAGGTTCCTCACCATAAAGATATTCAGAGTCTTCACCAGGGTCATGAGGAACATAGTCATTAACGATGCTTGGCTGATGAGTATCACTGGGAGTTCATCCAGATAAAACAACTCCTTCATTACCTTGAACTATGCCCTTACTGGCGTTATTTTCATCTTGCTGTAAAATGGTTCTAGGTGGATTGCACATCCTCATTTCGTCAAAGGTGACATTTGTTGAGATAAGAACATGTTTAAGTCTAGGGCTATAATCGTTACGGTGTTTATGACCTTCTCCATATCTAGCAAAAATGCTTGCTTCCGCTTTAGGAGAAAGTTTCTTTCTTTGACTTTGATCTTTATGACCATAAGCGTGGCATCCAAAGAATGAAAGAAATGAATAATATGCATGCTTACCATAAAACATATCATAAGGAGTTCGGCTATTCATACCATTAGTGGACAATTGATTTATGACATAAAGAGCCGTGTGAAGGGCTTCAGTCCTTGGATATTTTGGAACCCCTCTAACATTAAGGAAATGGCAAAGTCGCCAATGCCACACTGTTTTCGTTTCTCAACAAAAGCTTTAAATTGTACAAATGTTTCGAATACTTAAGAGTGAGGCCCATTATTATGGAACCACTAACAAAACAAGGGGTAAGAGCCTTTACCAATATGGAACCTTGTGCTTGTCAGGAGAAGGGTGGCTGCTGTTTGCTTGGAGAAAATTGAAGATGTTTGCTGTTTGTTGAAAGATTATTGAAGTAGACATTGTCGGAAGATCCTTGAAGGGCCTTGAAGATCTAGGGTTTTCAAACCAGCTCTGAGACGATGATATAAAAGCTTGGTGTGGAGAGAGAGAGAGAGAGAGAGAGAGAGAGAGAGAGAGAGAGAGAGAGAGAGAGAGAGAGAGAGAGAGAGAGAGAGAGAGAGAGAGAGAGAGAGAGTAGTACGTAGTAGTACGTAGTACGTACGTAGTACGTACGTACGTACGTACGTACGTACGTAGTACGTACGTACGTAACGTACGTACTACGTA